AGAGTTAAATTTTTTTTCATGATGTCACTCATCCGAAGTTGTACCACGAACCTTGCTGCTTGACTTTGACAATCGTAAGGGAACTGCTGTACTTCGATGACCCACGAATCTGTATGTTAACGTCTATATAATTGTGATATATCTGTTCAATGGAAATATTAGAAACAAATGGTTTATGTGTTTATATGATATAGTGTATGTTTTAGGAAAACGGAATAGAATCCCTTTAGTGTTCCTTTTTTTAGGGAAATCTCATAGGAATACAACAAAGAAAAGATAGGGAAATTTCCACACGGGTATATATATATGTATATAGATCAAAATATTTATAAATTGTTTATGCATTAAAAGTTATATTGTGGTAAATGCATTGATAAATACGTGGATTCTACGTAGACACTTCCATATAGATTTCAATACGTATAATCCATGTGGAATTACTGATGAAATTTAACAGGAATAAAAATAGGAAATAGTAACGTTGAATTCACGTGGATAAATTAACATCGATATTACTCTATGCAATCCACGTGGATTATACGTATTGAAATCTATATGGAAGTGTCTACGTAGAATCCATGTGGATATTATGTAAATAAATTTTTAATCCACGTAGTCCACGTAAAACACGTAGATTCCATGTGGATACTACATATGTGTTCTCATCGGGATATAGCAGAAATAGGACGTTATTTTTGAAACTTTTTTTGTAAATATCTTTTTAACGAAGGGCGAGCGACGGCTAGTTGTTAAGGTAAAATTACTCAGGGTCATGACCTTGATAACATATATTAAGGTCAAGGTCATCGGAGCTGGCTCCCATCATCGGCATATTTACCCATACAATTTCACTTTAGGGTTATTGAACACTATATCATGAACCTTTTTACTCATTTCTAGTGTAGCCACCTCATACAGTTAGATTAATCTGTAATGTTATTTGCGACAAAGGTGTCGTATCGTGAATATTACCTATTTACAATAATTTTTAATAAAGTAAAGTTTATAAGTAAATTTTTTCATCTCATTTAACGTTTTTATTAGTTGTTAGAATTGAAAATTGCGATTTTATTGTAATTTTTAAAAACAATATGCTTTTTAAGATCATTTTTAGTGGAGTTAGTTAATTATAATTGTAACAAAATTTGTAAAATACCATTTTTTAATAGAAACGGTTTAATGGAATGAACTGAACAAAATAAGCGGGAATTATATGATAAATAGTATAAATTTTCAGATGTTTTTAGAGAGTGTGTTTATAAATATGTTCATATATGTGTATAACTACGCTATAGTTTGCCAAGTGTATAAAAACTCAAAGAAAAGATTGAACCTTTCGTGAGACATAAACGTCATTGCACAAATGTTATGGCACTATTAAAGATATCCAAAATTTGTATTATGTTAAAAAAATTAAATTATAATATCATGGATAATAAGATTATAATAAAAAACCGTAATGTGGCAATGTTGTACCATAATATTGATTCGAACTTTCGATTACGAGTTTATTTAAAATCGGTAATCGCAAAGAAAATTGTTATTTGTGTTATCTTTAAGTTTTGAAATTATATGTACACACGCACGCAAAGTCAGTTTGTCACTCAAGGACTTTTACAATGCTGTCACAATGTCATCTACGTTTATATTAAAAAAATTATAACTCTGAATATTATAGCTATACTTACGGCGACGATATCTGTTATTGCAAATACGTTATTACGAATATGAGAATATAAAATTATTAGTATAAAAAAATTTGTTCTAAATCGATCAGTAATAAGATGTTTTTATAAAATAAATTTCTTTTTTATGTAATTCATTCGCATATATATTATACGCGATATACACACATTGGCACCTTACCCTCGTGGGAACGTTTTATATGTTTTTTATTCTAAATGTGACATCCACATTTTTACTATGAGACGTTATTACATCGAGATCGAGAACTAGCAGCGCCAAGTGCTTTTACATAAAAAAAATTTTTTATTTAAATTAATTTTTTTCATTTTGTACTGTTACTTCTTTAATTCTTTATGGTAAAACTTGAGATGAATAAAGTGATGCAATTTTGTAATATAATAACGTTTTCAAGGAGGATTGCTACTACTTTGGTTGGAGTTACTACTACTTTGGTTGGAGGAATAAATGTGTTTGAATTAATTGTCTTTAAATTAATTGTGATATAATTTTATTAAAGAAGAATTAAACCACTTGGATTGGAATAGCAAGATCTTTCAATAAGAATACAAAGACATATACTAGGCTTCATTGTATATGAAGATAAAGATAGTATTACATGGGTTTTACTTTTTAATTTAGTAGAATTTAAATAATAGTAGAATTTAACTTGGCGCCGACTATTGATATCAAATCTTTTATACAAATGATACGGTCATTAGATTTAAGTAAATAAGGATAATATCACGTAGGTTTTTAAATATGGTTCTACTAAACAGCAAATGTGATTGACAGTATTGGCGTTGGTGAAACTGGCCCAAATGATTTTTTGACCAGCAGCATCCAACTTAGCGCTTTTTTATCTTTTTTTTAAAAAAGGTAAGTTTATAAAGATAGTACCAAATGGGATTTACTTTTTAATTTAGTAGAATTTAAATAATAGTATTACATGGTAGTATTTTTAAAG